GTATTTAACTCAACGACCGGACTCACAATCTAGTATTAAATTCTGTTACTGAAACAAATAGAAATCAAGGTATTTTATGTTGTGGTATTTAATGATGTGCGCTATTATTTGGCATAATATATATATATTTTTAAAGCGATCATCTTTGTCTATTTTTCACCTGGGTTTTATATTCCCCTCTGACAAAACATCTGGCCCAAATTTGGCCCCCTCAGTAAAAGTGGTCTAGAACCGCCACTGACCTTAGCGGCAAGTAAGTGTGGACAACAGGAAGGAGCAATCCCAACTAATCTTATGCCCGCAAAAACACTTGTGTATCAGCCATTTTTGGATTTTGTAAGTTTACACCTCAACACTCTATAGCAGGGAGAATATGTCAATTAAAGTCACATCGCCAACAAATGGCCTGGTATATATACTACAGGGTTTTAAGTTGTTTTTGATCCATGTGCATGGCGGTTCTTATCAAAATATTGTGGTCTGAAGGCGGATCTATTTTTAAAAAAAGCAGCAAGAAATTATTTTGTTTTCAGTGGATCGTTTTTGTGTGAACGCGGCTGTACTGCATGAACTTGTGAGAGAAAGAGTGAATTCTGAAGTGTACTGTAAAGTGCCTTTAAGTGGTATGAAGACTAGAAGAGGTGCTCTGTAAGAGCAGGTTATCGTATAAAATAAGTGTTATTGCGCAGCTACAGGCTTTATATCTGTGAGCAGCATTGTTTTTGTATAGAGCTTCAGAGCAGATACTTAAATGCTAATGGTATGAATTCAAACTCACATAACATTTTTCTTCCATTCTGTCGTGAATAAAATACTGGAGGCAACTGGAAATACGGGGTTGTCTTTAGATATGAAAATTGTGTTGCCAGCAGCATTGATTTTTTTTTTTTTAAATGATTATCATTGGGGGTCGTAGAGTACATACCCAGTGAGAACTCCCCTCGTCTTTGGGAGTCATTTGTTTGACAGGCAGGCTACATTATGCTGATGGTGGTGAAATGATAATTAGAGTTGGAGATAGATTGAGTCAATATAAGTGTAATTAATTTTTAGTGTGAGGTTTATTAGTACAGAGGCAATCAGGCTCCTAATGAGGGCCTGATAGAACTTCTTAAATAGTGGAACCAGTCAAATTAATAGCTCTAATAGCTTCTGGCATGGGACTCTGATTTTATTTATTGCACTTCAGCATTCGTTTGTATATTTAGCACTTTTTTTTTGTAAACAACAGAGTGATCATTTACACAGATAATTTATGTTTCTTTGGATTCATAAACCACTGGGAGATAAGCTACCACACATACGTTACACACACCCGCAGATATTGAACTCACACACACTGGATGTATAAATAGATTTCTCAGCCCATTAAGGCTCATCTGTCAAATCTTGTCGCTAATTAAGCTTAGAAATACTCAAGTAATTTCTATTTAATGAACTTGCTCAATTAAGTCTGCCCTCTTTTTTTTGGCTTAATCCTCCTCCCTTTAAACACTGGCTGAATTCTCTCCCGCTCTCTGTCGCTCTCTGCACTCACTCTTCCTTTTATTCTGAGCAGTGAATCTCTCCGCCCGCTCTCCTCAACCTGCCCCTTCTCCTTTTGTGTGTTTGTCTCAGCCATGTCGAGGCATTGCACCATGTACACACACAGAGAACAAATCACAGTCATTTAGACTGCCAGCCTGCTTCCAGTGGAAGGTGCAGGGATGGTTGTACACAGATTCTCCCAATCTGACGGATGACGGGTAATTACTAAATATGGCACATCAGAGTAGGATAGTTGACCTTATTTTCAATAATTGTCAACTCCTGGACAGGTGTAAAAATAATGTATGTTTTATTTAAAGGATCAACTCCTGCAAACGTTCCTCACAAACATGTTTTGCAAACACAGAGACGTCAAAGATTCATAGCATTTATCACATGTTACCAGCGATTTCTTCTTCTCTAAGAGGCAGTTTGTAGTTATTACTTGGTGCTGATCTTGGAAACTATCTACTCAGTTGTCCAAAAACAGTTTGGCCTCTGGGAAAAACAGCTGATTTTTGGTATTTTAGTGTTGCCAGCTGTTAAAGATAAAGGATATCCAGACACGACCTATTTTCAGAGATCTGTTCATTGACTTTGATTACAGCTAAATGTATGTTAGAAAATTGCTTATTGGTTCTGCAGCCTGTCCAGCTGCACAAGCGTGAGCGAGCGTCAGGGGAAAAAATGTTTCCTATTGGAGTGTCCTAGCAGCGTGACACAATTTATAACGCTTGCACGGTGTAAGGCGCATCGACAGATTCTGCAGTATTATTCACAATCTTAAATACAGATTTTTGTTTTAGTGCAGTCATGTTTCTTTAACACATTTTTTTCCTCTCCAGCCGCATAGCCAGTAATGGACCTAGGCATGAGTAAAAAAAAACACAGTTTGTCACAGATAAATTGAAAAAAAAAAATTATATGAATTACATTTGTTTGATCTTATCTTATTGGGTAAACTCAATTAATCCTCTTAACAGAATGTAACATTACAACAAGTTGCAGGTGGCCCCAAGAACATAACTGGTTGCTATGGTAACGGCAGGCAGCAGTGAGCTGCCCTGTGCCAGTAAATGTTACTGTGGCACCTTCTGTTATGACAAGGCATATATTTTATGCAAGATGTGTAAAGTAGGTGTGGATGAGTATGCATCAAAAAGTGTAAGCCTCTTTCGATGGAGACAGAATGTAACCCATGTATTGTCAAAGCTGGTTTGTTTTGCCATGAAGGTTAACTTTCCCTAACTTCAACCAGGTAGTTTTAAGTGTTGTCCTGATTGGTTGAACACTTAGGTCGATACTTTGGGGAAAGTACTTTCAGCTAATCTGCTGTTGTTAAGTTTTAAGGACCAGGTGCCAGGGCCTCTTACTTGTAAAGAGAGGCCCTTATGAAAATCAGTTTCAAGGGGGAAAATTTGATACAGAAAATCCATGCATGCTCGGATTTTATCACATTTCTTTTGAGAGTGGCACAACAGCAGCTCAGGTGGTGGAGCAGCTCGTCCTTGACACTGAAACTTGAATCTGCTCGTGACATAAGCTCTTTACATCAGCTTATGAATGCGTGTTTGGTTGAATGTGGAGCTCTGCAAAGTGCTTGTGCTGTCCTCATGATGATTATGCCACACAAAAGAAGTCCACTTCCCTTGGAGCTGAGCTTTAGTGTCCATAATAAAATCTGTTGCATCCTTGTGCAGTCACACTTGTACAAGGTTTTCAAAAAGAGAAATTCTATTCAGTTCAGTTGTGCACTTGCTCTCTGCCAGTACAGCTCACACATAACAGGGTTCAAATAACAAGTCCCCCTGCTGCATTATGTGCTGCTTCTACATCAGGTTTGATTCCAAAGGAAGGCCACGGAGAATAATTAAAACTTTCATAACACTGGCAAAAAAGTGCAGCACTATTATTCATTTCAATCTGTTTTTTCCGACTAATGAGTGCACTGTAAAGCCAATATTTACTTTCTTTATAACAAAAACAAATCTTTCTCTTTATATCTGCAGGAATGTTTCAGGTCTTCACAAGCCTGTTGTTGACTTTGCCTGCTGCTTGAAACAGGTTGGATGTTTTTGACCTTTACAGTCAATGTGCTGTACAGCTGATAAAAAAATGAGCTACTAGCTAAAAGAGCTTCTCAGAGCCACAGAGCTACAGTATGCTGTTCTCCGTGGGTTAAGCAGATCCATTCTCACTTTGAGCCTTGCACAAATGACCACTCTTAGAGGTTAAATGCTTCAAACTAAGGCGCAGAAGGTATCCCTCTAGCATCATTTCCAAACGCCGTCCTCCAATTCATTGTTTTGATACGCTGTTGTAGTCAAGCGACATAATGGTGGACCAAAAGAGTAAAACCAAAAGTCAATGTTGACCTCTTGTTATAGCAATCAGCAACCGGGTTGGGCCAGACTTTCTCGCTGATAATAAGACTTCCATTTTAATATCTCATTAATTAGTGTTGAAGAACTCGAGATCAGTCTTGGTGATCTCGGTCTTGCCTCGGAATTGGGGCTTTTAGGGTCCCATTGAAGGCCATGCTGGAAATGCTGTTTCACCCTATAACTTTCAGTCAACCTAACGACAGGCTTAGAGCTGGAGCTGAGGTGGTTTTTTAAGCCTCTTGACAAACAGTTGCACCTTAAAAAAATAAATGTTTTTTTTGAAGATTGAACAGGACCTTTCTTTTTTTACCTCGCTAACTAGAGCATGTGTTGCTGATGATGTTCATTACTTGCTTACTTGACAGTGTAGCCCTTCAACTACAAATGGAAACTAGACATTTGAAGACAAACCAAGGTTCTAATTGAGAACTTTGATCGTGTGTAAAGCGGCAGCACCGTTGCAAATCTCTCTTGAAGAACATTCTTCTTACCCACGGTGCATTTGCTGTTCCACCCTCCCAACAGCCTATCATTTGATCTCCTTTTTGAAGACAAATTTCCCATCAGGCGTTTTTAATAAAGCACCAAAAAAATGAATCTGAGGAGGTTCAGGTTATAGCTGTGAGCTGTGGATGATGTGATGTGATGTCACTGTTAAAAAAAGGCAGATTTCCTCTTTTCCTTGGTGAGAAGTGAAGTCTTTTCATTGCACAATTTTATCATTTCAGATCTTGTGAAAATATTTTATCAGGTTCCTTTGCAGTACTCCACATCCCAAGTGCACACACATACACACACACATACACACACACACACACACACACACACACACACACATACATAGAGAAACATAAAAACACCATTTATAAACCCTTGTGAATGACAAAAAAGCGACACTTGTTTCCTCCCAGAACTGTTAAACTGCTTTTAAAAAATCGTCAGGGGAGCCACTTTGTACGCTGTAAGGCCTTCATGAAACCTTAAACGACAGAAGTTCAATGCTTTTTTTTTATGTGTTTCTGCTGCTGCTGTGATATCCCGGATATGAGGAGAAATTGAACTCGTACATTTTCTGTTTTCTCTTTCTAGCGTTCTGTGAGGAGGGCTGCAGGAGTGGAGGGACCTGTGTGTCTCCCAACACGTGCGTCTGTCCCTCCGGGTTTACGGGACTCCGCTGTGAGACAGGTAAGACCCAAGGATCTCCAGCTTGAACCCGCCTGCCCCCTCATCTGTCCCCCTGCCCCCCTGAGGAGGAGTGGAAGCGGGGGCAAGGTGGGGTGACAGCATGTTGTTCTTTGAGAGTTTTTAAATTTGACGTTAGAGGAATGGTCAGCAGTAGCCCCTTTTTTTTCTTTCTTGCATTCACTCAATATTACTTACACACTGACACACACACACACTCCATCTGTGAAACCCTGTGTTTAAATTGGCTTCTGCAGAGAATGAGGATTCCTGGAAAGCCATAAAAAGGGACTACTAAGTCTTTATTCCTCCTCCCCTTCCCTTATTCTTATCTCCATTCCCATCTTCCTCTTTCCCATCTTCTTTCCTTCTTAACCCCTTTTATCCCTCTTTTTTTACCACCTTGTTATTTCCTACATTCTTCAATCATCCCTTCCCTGCATGCCCTCGCTCTCCTCCTCTGCTCTTCTTCCCCCCTCTTCTTCTTTCCTCCTCCATTTTTTCACCCACCATCATTATCTCTTTCTCCCTTCATTTGTCTAGTCTCCCTTCTTCTTCACTCTTCTTTACTCCTTGTCTTATTCCCTCCTTCCTTGAATTCCCTTTTCTCCCATTGTTCCTTTTTGTGTTTTCCTTCTGCCCCCCCCCCCCCCTTCTTCATCTGCGGTATAATTTTACAGGAGTATTCGAACCGGCTTGGATAAAGAACAACCATAGGTCAGCTATTTACAGCATGTTGCCATGGTTTCAAATTCAATAACAGGTTACACACTTGACCTCATCTGCTCCTCACTCTCACCGCTTTTTCTGCTGGGCATCGATGGCATACTAAAAAATATTCTCAAGCCCTCCCCCACCCCTCAACATACACATCAAAACATATACCAATTAAACACTATTCACACTGTCAGTCCTTTGCTGACACTTCAGTGTTACTACAAAATGAAAAAAACTAACAAGTGGATTTTTACAGAGTTAAAAGGGATACTGCAACGTGAAACTTTCACATTGTTAAGATGTAACAACAGCTATCGCTTTAACCCTGTTCAGGTGAAGCTGAGGGGGAGATAAGACTTGTCATATTTCCTCGTCTTTGCTTCAGTAGTTGTGACATCTGGTGTAGATTCATTGTCAGCTTTATGTTATGCTCTCACAAAATTTGCCATGCTTTGTTTGCAGTGCAGTCTGTCTCTAGACAACGGGAAAGGCGATATAGATAATAGATGGATGTTTGCAGTGCAAAACAGTGTGCATTGTTTTTATTTTGCCGCCGTCCCCCGACACCTTCAGGGCCCCCCTGAGGCGCCACAGGCCTCACTTTGGGAATCACTGATTAACAATGACTTCTCCCACCATCAAATACTATGAGTGACTTCCAGCATCACCATCATCGAAGTAATGACAGTGCTATCCGAAATGGTGATTTTTATGCATTTCCTTCAAGTGACTTAAATTTGTTTGCTCCCTGTGATTGCACTGAGAAATGTCTCGGTGTCTGTATGAATAAGAACTAAACACTTTCCAGCAAAGTGATCCTATTGGTGCACTAATGGTTAACTTCTAGGAAGCTATGCATTTTCTTTTAATAACCCATAATTATCTATTTTACAATGACAGTCACACTGAAGTGAAATCCTTCCCTGTCTTTGTTTTTACCCAAAACGTCTCTGCAGTGTTATAATAGCTGATATTCTAATGCCTATACTCTGAAGCTTGAGCATTTTAAAGTGTTGAGAGGTAATCAGCGGCAATCAGCGTGCAACACATTTAATGAAAGTCGGCAATCAACCAAGGACTAATTAACCCAATAAACAGCAGCAGATATCAATCAATTAATTAGCGTTTCTCTGTGGTGTTTTCTGGGAATTTAAATTCATGTACAAACATAGCTTAATGTTATTACTTGGCCCAGACTTTGCAAATATGGCTGCAAATTCAATTTTAATGACTGAAAAAATGTCGGATTGGATCAAAATAACTGAATTCCATCGGTAAAATGATTCTGCTGATTTTCCCTTTCAACCACTTGGCATGGGTTAAAGGGAGGGAAAGACGGCAACGTGCTGAAGTGTGAGGCAGATAAGGACTAACACATCATCTCACTAATGAGGCTCCTCCCCGTGGCCCTCCGGCTGCTGCCCGAGGCAGCTGTGGATGTGATGCAGAGCGAAATCAGTCCGTCGCTCCGTGTCAAAACCTCTGTGCGTCTCTTGATCACATTTGCAGAAGCTGGTATCTACTCACTCTATGATTAGAACCATCTACTTGCCAGTTTTTCTTCTCCCGTTCCCACACTTTGATGAGGTCAATTATAGGAAATAACACATGAACAGAGATTTCAAACCAGAAATGGGTACATTTATAGAATGCAAATGTACATGTATTCTATCACCTCGCTGAATTATCCAACCTCCTCATGTCATACGGTAGTAGAGTAAGAGAGTAGCATTGAAAGGAGCTATACCTTACTTCCACGTCCTTTTACAGTGCTTTTTGGGGTTGTTGAGTTGGAGTCTAAGACTTGCCGCGGGCTTCTTGTACGAGCTGAAGCTTCTTGTTTTAACTTTGTGAGCAACGTGTTCTGTTTCCCTCTCAACCTGTCACTATTCCTCTGTCACTCTTTCTCTGTATGTCCGTCCGTCTGTCTGTCTGCGCACTCTATCTACCGTCTCCCTCTTCCTCTACGCTGCCCGTGTCTCCTGTGTAATAAACCACATCACTGCTCCACTGATTTCTCCCCCTTGTGGGTTCATACTGTAGCTCTATGGGAGGTGAAGAGCAACTAAATATAAATCCGATGGGAACAAAGTCGATCTCCTCACTGATCTTCTCCCACGTTGATCTGCTCCTCTGGAACAAAATGTACTGTAACAGACATCAAGAGCAGACTCTGACAAGATTAGATTCAGCTATGTTAGGGTCTGTCAGAATAACAAAACTCATCGGCCCGTGTTTAAAATGTTGTTTACTGGAATCCAGTTGGATTACATCTACTTCTATGTGCTTATCTGTTTACATGTAGATTGTTCTTGTTTTTGTTTTTATTTAATGATGCTACTGAGGAGGAAGCTAAATGCAGGCAGCCCTTGCAGAAGACAAATCATATCCAAATCATATCGCATCATATCATATTGTATTGTATCATATCCAAATCATATACTATAGTATTGTATCCTATCCTATCAAACCATATCGTATACTCGCCGTGAGAGGGCTCCCTGTGAGGCTGTGTGGAGGAAATTGGGAGATTCGTAAACATAATCATCTTCAAAATCAACTGTCTTTATTGAATTAACATACCAATGAATATTTGCCCATAATCTTTATTTGTTTGCTTGCAAACCTGCAGTAGTGACATGGATTTTTAGCTAAATTGATCGAGTTTTGAATGTTTAAAATCAAATTATGCAGCCTTTTTGTCACATATCCCAGTGACTTTAATCCATCTCTTCCCTTGTTTTACCACCTACAAATAGGGTGTCTAACACTTACCCTAGGATTCTATTAAGGCTAAACTTATTCCAAGTCTTTATTTCTCTTTCTCTCTCTCTCTCTCTCTCTCTCTCTCTCTCTCTATATATATATATAGTATATATTATTTTTAATGTTTATTGGATTGGATAGGACAGTGGATAGAGTAGGAAACCAGGGAGAGAGAGAGTGCAACTAATCCCCTTCCTCCTCTTAGAGACCTTATCATGTTTAAAACAAGTGATTTAAAATGCAAAATTCTGATCATTTGCAATCATAAGAGGAAACTGAGAATATGCATTGATATTAGTGGTAGCATTAACAGCTCTGCAACATGTTCATTAATGTATGGCTGTGTTCTGAGGTCACTTCTTATGATCCTTTAATCCAACAGGCTGTTAACTTTTTGCTCATCAACTGGTCACAGTCTATCAGGTAGCAACAAACACTAACTCTGGTTGCTGTTTGTTCTCCATCTGAGGAAACATTACTGTAAATAGCCCATGTAACATTTTCCATGATAGCTGTTTCAGTGGGTTAGTAGGGCTGAGATAAGTGTAATTATGTAGAGCTCAGCGGGCCAGAGGATTCACCAGAGGGCTCTGGGATTATTTTAACTTTATGTGTGGATTAATTCCCATTTCCTCGCAGAGCTAAACCTCACAGCTCTTCACAGTTCACGCTGTCAAATTGTCTTCACAAACCCCCGTTGGGAAAAATTCATAGACGGGCAGGAGAAAAACCCTACGAGTACTAAATGTTCTGGTTTGCATCGCAATGGAAGGAAACAGAGGGAAATGTGGGATGCTGCCTGCCTGCTTTCCTTCCCGCTGCTGTAACATAGATTGATGGAGGGTATGTGTGCGTGTGGGTACTCAAGCTTATTGTACTTTGCAATTTTCTTGAAGCAAATATCACTGCAATATAAAAAGGAATTATCAATCAATCAGTCAATACTTTATGTGTGGATTAATTCCCATTTCCTCGCAGAGCTAAACTCACAGCTCTTCACAGTTCACGCTGTCAAATTGTCTTCACAAACCCCGTTGGGAAAATTCATAGACGGGCAGGAGAAAAACCCTACGAGTACTAAATGTTCTGGTTTGCATCGCAATGGAAGGAAACAGAGGGAAATGTGGGATGCTGCCTGCCTGCTTTCCTTCCCGCTGCTGTAACATAGATTGATGGAGGGTATGTGTGCGTGTGGGTACTCAAGCTTATTGTACTTTGCAATTTTCTTGAAGCAAATATCACTGCAATATAAAAAGGAATTATCAATCAATCAGTCAATCATAATTTGTATAGTGTTATCTCGAGACGCCTTTCAAAAGAGCATATGGGTTCATTAGCAGGAAGGATTTCTCCTTTATATTCCTCGCTGTCCTGTTCACACTTCCTTACCGCTGAGGTGGAGGTCGGAGCAGGCCGTGCATGAATGAGGATGGCGATGGTTGAGGGGGCGACACAGTCCAATGGTGAAGGCTGGGCGCCGGGGACGGCGGATAGTAGTAGTGTCAGATCACCTCGCTGAAGGTTGGGGGTGCACCATCTACTCAAGAGCCTGGCTTCTGCTGCCGGGACAAGGCCTATGGGCTTCTGGCACGGAAAGGGGGGCGGGGGACAATAGCAGCAAGCCATCCTCATCCTCACTATGACAGAACACAGAAGCCCCCCCCCTCAATGTTGTTGAAGTACACCTACTAGCACATGTCAATTGACTGGAACCAGCAGACAGTATGATGTTTGAAATGATATTTGGATTTTATTAGAGCACACATCAGCATGTGTTAATTATAACCGTTAAAACAATAATGGTAATACATTGTAATTACAGGAGCTCTAAATAAAGACTGTGATTTTTAAAAAACAAAACATTAAAGAACCAGAGAACAGCTGTTGGCTGTCATCACACAGTGACCTCTGGAGTGGTTTGTTACAGGGTCACATGAAGACACCCGGCTTTCTCTGTATTTGCACACACTTCCAACAGCTTTGCAATCGTGAAAAGTCAAATGAATAAAACATCACAAACATGAAAAGATTATACTGCGAGTGTGTTCATTTCAGTTCATTGAAATGCTAATCTGACATGCTGTTTGCATTTTTTTCTTCACTGCCTTCCACTATAAACAGCAACAAATTAAATTCAATACATAATCAGATCTTATCACAACCACATTCACTTGTTTTACCCTCAGGTGAACCTTGCGTCTTTTCTCCTTCTTTTGGAAGCATCCCTTTGTGGAAAGCATGACAATGAACATTCATGTCATTGTGCACCTTTAATTTAAATATCCGGTATTCATGTAGTATCTTTGTTTGGGTTTGTACCTCAAACATCTGTTTGTAAAACATGCCATTGTAACACATTTGTCAAGAACACTTTATCTAAATTATCGTTGACAAAAAGCTCAAATAAGAGAAGGAAAATTAACAACTGGACTGATTCTTAGTGCTGTAATACATACAGTTTAACCTCTGATTTCCAGTTACAAATTGGCCTATGCTGGAAGCCATTGAAGGATTGTGTATTTTATCATTTTTTGTGAAGACAGGATGGTGTGATGGTGGGGTCCGTAGGTAGGGAAAGGTTTTTAATAATTTCAGTGCTTTCATTTCGTGTCACTAGAGAGGCACACAACACTAATTCATTAAGTTGTACAGTTTATAATTGTGTATCTAACAGCATTGATTTAGGCAGTAAATGTTTTTAAAGGGACAGTTTGATTTTTTTGGAGTGGTGTTGTATAAGGTCCTTATACAGAGAAGCACATACCGTTGCAAACCAAAAAACAAAACAAAAATAATACACAGTATATTGCACATTGCATTTATTGCATTGAGTGTAAATACTGTATAATTAAAATAAGTATTCATAATATTCATGTGTAATCAGGATCAGAATTTCATTTGAATAAATAATGAACTGAAGTCAAAGGAATCCAATCACTGCTAGAATAAATCGTAATACCTTGAACATGCAGTATAACAAGCCTCATCGTGTGGTCATATATCCTCTGATGCACACACACAAACACACACACACACATAGCACTGCTCTTTTGAGAAGGGTTAGCTGCTCTCAGCCACCAGTCACCTCTAATCTCGGTATGTTTCAGTGGGATGTCAGACGGGGAATCTTGCGGTGTAGCTCTGACCTAAGAGGCTGACAGAGGGCAGGCCTCCCTGCAGCTGTCACGTCTGATTACCTACAGCACAGCAGGCTAACAGCACAACCACAGCACACACTGCTAAACAGCTCGACTTCAGTCTCTCTTTTATCTCTATCGAGATAAATGTGTGTGTGTCTGTGTGTACTGTGTCCTGTGTGTGTTTCTTAAGAAAGGCCGAAGGTATTAACTGTGACTTTCACAGCTGGGCAGGAAAGTGTTTATAGCATGAGATCAAAAGGTCAGTTTGGTTGTCTTTAGAAAGAGACGGTGACATTGTTAAAAAAATGATGCTTTTGAGGCTATATAGAATTTTTGGTAGCACTTTAAATTAGGTTCACAATATTTACCATTTACTAGTTGCTTATTAGCATGCTAATTAGTAGCATGTATGTGTTAGTAGTGCATGCCACAAGCAGAAAATCCTTATTGATAGCGTTGTTGAACATGAATTTTGACCATATGGCTATTGATTGCAAACTCTTGACAGAGTAGCTATAGACTATGGTAATGGAGAATAAGGTGCTATTAAGAATCAGCCAGTATGCTGCTAATTAAGTTAATGGTGAATATTTTCACCTTATTTTAAAGTGCTACCAAATTTTCTTTTGTTTTAGATTGTTGCTAACACAGTTTATGATGGTTTTTAGGCTTAAAATTTGCATTAAAGTTTCAATAAAGAATATTCAAAAAACAATTATAGAACACAACATGAATCTCGAATCTCTTCATCCAGTCACACAAGTAAAGTGGTCTCAAAACATCCCTCCTGTAGATCAACATTTAAATTATTCCCACCAACTCCCAGTGGTCTGCAAGCTGCATGATAATTCTTATGTAGCTTCAGTGAAAACTGTGAAAGAAAGTTGAAAAAATGTACAGAAAGGTGACACCTTTCTGGAGATAACATGAGGTCATGTTTGATACCAGACAACCCACATTTCTAATAGTTTGTATTGTTTATAGCAGCAGCAGAATATAGTCTGTGTTTTCCATCTAGGCTCCGACTACATCACATATCCCAGAATTATTTCAAATGTAGAATTGAGTAGGGATGAGATAATATCTTAAACCCCATTTGGAGCCTGATGGTGGATGTTGGGCTGGTTTGTGGTGGGGTGGAAAGTTTAACGGCAGCACTGGTATGAGACAGAAGTGGCAATGACAGAGCAGCAGAGGGGAAGACCGAAAAAAATTGAGAGGATATGTTTTACGGTGATTGGAAGAATGAGATATGTCAAATAATAAATCAATGCAGCTCCATGTTGCCTGCCCGAAGTAGCTCGCAGGCATCACCTCATTTATTTGATCATCATTCATCATCACTTTCACCGCTTACATTCGACATCAAAACAACAAGTAAATTGTAAGGCGATGTTATAGGTGCATTTTACAAGCATCCATCCATAACTATTCTTTTCTAGACAACAAAAACCAAAAAGTTTGTATAGCTTGTTCATGTTTAAACAGGGTTTGGTAGACTGCAAGGACACTCTTTAAACCGATAACACTTCATATCCCCTGCTAACTTACAAACCTCCTCTCAAATTGTATTAAAAAAAGGCCTGAAGCTACAAACTCCTTCACTTTATCATGATGGTTTTCTTGAGATGAGTGTTTTCCTCCCTCAGTGACAATATGAGATATTTAAAGACATGACGATAAAAAGCAGTACTTCTCTACCTCTTCTTTTTGTGCTGCAGTTTGCATTTGAGCCTGTTGAGGGTGTGACTGAAGGTCATGCTTGAACCAAAAAGAGTGTGTGTGCACAGGTCTGGTCTTGCAGCGGGAAGCCAGAGAGAGCTGCACACATGTAGCAGAGCTCACAGCATACATTATGGATAAGAGAGATTTACTCTGTAGAGGAGTGAGGACCTGGCGTCTGTGGAATGGGGATGTGTATGCACGCCACAAGCAGAAAATAAAGCCGAAAAATGAGTGCCAAGAAGAAATCGAGACAGGTGCATGAAGGGAACGCACTCCAAATGGTGTGATTTGGAAAAGACGTTGATCCCGGCTGCTGCTGCTGCTGCTGCAGAGACATTGGCTGTCTAGTGTGGGCAGCTGCTGACCCGCTCTGCTGTTGTTGTGGGGGTATGTTCCGTTTTGAACCCACCTCAATTGTTGCGGCAAGCACAGATCAAAGGGAAGACAAAAAAGTGCTCGAATGAGGTGAATTTTCAGGTTCACTTTTGTTGCCAGGAAAACAATTAGCACCGATGCTGATGCTCCGGTATGTGTGTGTCTGTGTCTCCTCAGATATCGACGAGTGTGCAGAGGGCCTGATTGAGTGCCACAACCACTCCCGCTGTGTCAACCTGCCCGGCTGGTACCACTGTGAATGCAGAAGTGGTTTCCATGACAATGGCTCCTACCTGCTCGATGGGAGCTCCTGCATTGGTGAGCATACATTGAATTTAAAAACATCCTCATCACTGCTTGTAATACCAGCTTCTCATCCTCTGCTGCACCCTGCTGCAGCTTCTTAAGGCCTATTTTTTCCCCTCCCTCTGACCAGGATACTATCAGATGCTGTGACTTCCTGCCTGGCTGCCTCTGCAAATCTCTTTTATCTCTGGTCTCAAAAATGCTCCTTAATTGGCATTCTTTGTCTCATTTAACCTCTTTGGTAATTGCAAATGATCTTCAATGAGATATTCATGCGGGACACACATCCACCTCGTGCTTCCAGTGTCTACTCGTGTTGTGATCCTTTAGCCTGTGCTGGACATAAATACCTAAAGAAAAACCGAGCACCTGTTTTCTGTCAGACTCAGTGTTAATGATGGAGTGCAGAGCATGGAGTACATCCAAAGTTATAACTGTGTGATCAATTATTAACCAGTTTAACTCTGCTATATGCTTATATGGATGACTAAATATTTACCCTGCACGCTTTATGATTTGCAATACTTGCAAATCATACAATTTGCTGCAACATTAAGATGCCGTTTCATACACAGGCTGTTTACAATACTCTTTACACCGCTTTGTTTCTCGCTCCTACATAATGGCATGATTCTGTTGATTTATAGTACACTAGCTGAGTCCATTATGAAGCCAAAATTGAAAAGGAGGAGAAAGAAATCAATAACATTTCAGTCAGAGTTTATTCTGGGACAGATGCTGCAACTCTGATTCCAACAGCGAGATATTTGTTCTGATGCTCCGTCAGATTAAAGATTTAGGAAGCTGTGAGGAGCTGAAATCAACTTCATGAACTTCTTACACTGCCTAGTGGAGCTGCTTTTTTCTGCTTTTTTCAAGCCTGTTTGATCTGATTTCAGAACTTTGTTCATCTTAAATATGTTCCGCTTCTTGTCTTCACTGATGTAACTTTTTTTTGTCTGATTTTCAGTTGAATGAAATGTCTTCAAAAAACCTGTCATGTCACATAGTTTGCCCTGATAAATGTTACACAACAAATTGTGACATTTTCAAACTGAAATTTGATGTGGGAGAAGAGTATGTTTCTAGTTTCTTTGCACCCTGTGGGACATGGATGAGGAACATAAAATCACTTTGAAAATATAGCAACATCTTTAAAATCACTATCCTGAATCACCACGATGTGGACGACCACGGTCACTTATAATGATTCTTAATGATTCTGTCTTTTTCTGCTTTTACTGTTACATTTGTATTAATATTGTTAAATATAATGGTGGTCCGAGTGCTGAATATTACTCATATTACCTTGTTTTTCCAACTTGTTTTTTTTTTTTATCAAATTAGACACATTCTCATTTGCATTCAATTTGTGATGTTATTCTTAGCCACTTACACGCATGCCATCAAAGCCTCTGCTGCAAAACATAATCAACACATTTGTAGTTGTGACCATAGAATGAACTGTTTTAGCATGCTAACAAAATACCAATTAGTAGATTTACTAACTGACACCTCCTACACCTGAAGGCTGAATTCTTAGATGTTGTTCTGTGAGAAATAATCAACTCGTGGTCCATCAGTTCTCAGCTCATTTGCACCAAATCAAGCATTGAAAACATTTTCACATTAATCCAAAAGGTTAATTTTGTTTTGCAGTAGAGTTTGAGATGACATCTAGAACATTAAGTATTAAATCGCTTCTTGAATGAAACGGAGAATGTGTCTATGTTCTGAAAATAAAATTGATAAATCAGTAGGAAAACATGGAAAACAAGTTAATGTGAGCGGTTGACTTTTGACATCTTTGAAGGCAGTTGGCACCTTGAAGGCAGAATGTGCGACATTACACATAAATACAGCAGAAATCAAGTATATCCTGTGTAAATCTCTCTGAGTCATGACTGTCTACAATGAGTGAGAAGCTCGAGTCCCGCTGGCTGTGTTGTTGTATGAGCCGTGTTTACATGGACGGGACGGCCGGCCGGCTCGTCCCCTTGCGTATAAAAGCTGTTTAAGTGAGGGACTAGAAAAAAGAAGATTGACATACTGTACTCACTGCTTATCAGAAATTTACATGTAATGTTAAGCTACAAGCTAACTAAAGAGTGCTACCATTAGCATGCTGACACAACAATGCAGCTCGAGACAGGACTATTTGTCCGCAGCTTAGCGCTTAGTGCATAATTATGGTATGTTCCAATTATTAACTCCTTTGTGCAAACACTAGCAGAGAGGGGTTGGAGGTGTGTCGCTGGAGGAGTCTGTTTTGGTTTTAATGCTGTGCTCAAGGCCAGGCCACGGCTGGCGGCTGCCGGCTACCTGGCAGTGGTCTCAACCAAGTGACGAGTCAGCAAAACAAACATGGCGGCAGTAACAAGAGCGTCTTACCTCTGGAGCGACTAAGAATATGAGTTTTGTCTTTCTGTAATGAAAGAATTAAACATGGAAATGCTGACCTATTCAAGTCAGTGGTGAACAGGACGTAAAACTGGGAGTCAGCTAGCCCCAAGTGGACGCTTGATGAACTGCAGCTTGTTTCACTTCCACATTGGCTCCCTCTTTCAACACAAGTTGCCGTTTGATGGAAACATACTTAAAAATGTAACATTACTAAATGAACTTGGTTCTTTCTGAACTGAGACCAGAGGCCCTTGAAGAAAAACATATTTATCAACTGAATTATGATTTATTCAGTATGTTCAGTGAAAGCATTGCTTCAGAATTTCCTTGAGCGATCCATAACGAGAAAGCTGCACACGAGTGTGACCACTCCTCCACCACCATTTCTCCCCTCCATGCAGTAATAGGTTGGAGGACCGCAGGGGAAATAAGTACAAATGACAATTTTACAGGATTTCGAACACCACAATATCCCACCAAAAGCCTCTCATGAGTCAACATGACAGAAGTATTTTGTAAGAAGTGAGTCAGCTCAAAGTTAGCTGCATGAACAGCGGCTTTCTGGCCAAGAGTTTGTGACACACATGCAGAGCGAGCAGACAGCACTGGGGACGAAAATTAGAGAAACAGAGGGTTTTAAGAAAACAGATGTAATCATCTGAACAATTACTAATGTAAATATACAAAAACTGCTAATCAGCAAGAGGAATTTATACAAATGTAAGCAGAGATTTCAGTTAAACTTTCAGGTTCAAATAGACAGCCACAGAGCATTACTTTCACATTATTGTCTGTAGGGAAAAAATTCAATCCTTAGGGTATGCTAATGGGCTGATGAAACAAAACAGTGTTGATATCCTCTGTTTTGCCAGCAAACAACAATTTGGGGAATTATTCAGTGTTGGTGGATTGTTTCCCGGTGGATAAAAAGGCTTTCCAGCTAAAGGATGTGTTGTGTTTTTCAAATGAACAGAGGGCTTTGTTGTCGTGTCGGTGCTTATTCATGTTTGGCACCACTGGAACAACTGGCTGTGCTGCTCTCTCTCTCTCTCTCTCTCTGCATCCTACTGGGCGACACAGTCATCTATAAGAGTCTTTTTTTCTGTGAGGAGCGATAATCCATTTTGGGTATGAGAGGGTCTATTTCTAAAGTGTCAGTTCATAGAGGCACTTCACACATGTCTGTTTCTGTACACTTCACACAGAAAATATGCACAGATAAACTCTGCAATGAACAGAAAATGAGTTATACACTTGAGTTATGAGTTATATATATCTATGAGTTATTAGACTATCCTCTAGGATCTCTGTTAAATGGCGTGAAACCAAATCTGAGTGTCCTCCTTTAAATGTAAGAAAGCCTCATTTACTATCACTTCTACATTTATAATCATCCAAAAGTAGAGGTGGGAAAAAAAATCGATTTATGTAAAAATCAAGTTTGTTATCTTCTGACCCGAGATTCATTACTTTAAAAAATACATTTTTTTATTTTTTGCTAATTGGTTACTCCCTGTAAGTGCTTAGGCTAGCTCTTTAACTTAGTATAAGGCCAAATGGAGTCAGTCTCACATATGACTGGAGTAGATCCTGAAGTATGTATTAATTCAAAAATAGACTCCTAATTATGAATCCAGAATTGTTTTGAATCAAATTTAGATTCTGAATCAAATCGTGACCTCAACAATCGAAATCGAATCGCGAGACACCCAAAGATTCACAGGCCTATCCAAAAGTCATATATGAGCAATAACCCCGGTGATGTCCTGGCTCTTACCCTTCAGTCTAGTTGTGGTGGCCAAGAGGGGCCATGTGGTAGGGTATGTAGTGGTATGTAGTATCAGCGTTGTTGTCACTACCTGGAGCTTTCATGCCTGGGTCTGTTGAAGGCGGCAATGCTGAGGTGGTAACTGATGGCCATAGAGTAGGTTATGTAACTGGTAAGTAGGACATAGGGGCATGACAGGAGCAATGAGTGTCTTCACTGAGCACTTCTCCTTTCATTAGGGCACGAGTATCTTGGGTTTATTTCAAACTTAGCTTTTGAACACACATGAACTTGGTTCTGAGATGGGATGTCAGACTAATATAGTCCTAAATACTTTCAGCCAGGAGAACAAGCTTCAGTCAGTTGCTGAGTAAAACAAGAAGTCAGCTTTGATATTTGAATCCCATGAATATTTATCAACTTTAAGAGCCTGTATAGCGCTTTTCTGGTTTCTATACTCAAAGCGTTTTTACACCACATTCTGAAACTGATGTCAGAGGCTGCTACGAAAAGTGGCCATCGGTATGAACTAATCCCATTCATGCACATTCAAATGCCCCTTATGCAGCAATGGGAGTAATTTGGGAATCAGTGTCTTGCCCAAGGACACGTTGACATGTGACTGCAGGAGCTGGGGATTGTTCCCTTGACATCCTGGCTGCGAGGCGACTGACCCTACCATTGAGCCACAGCCTCCCCAGAGTGTTCCACACGGGAGCTACATTGTGTGTGTTCATTACATGCCAAACGTAGGCGACGACAAAGCATACAATCAGTCCACAATGGTGTGTTTCTGTACAATACAACACTTTAGAATGATGTACTCGGTTGTTTTGCTGCA